TCCCAGCCATTCTCCCTCCCCGCTCAGTCGTCTCAGTCTCAGGTTCCCCTTCAGACACAAGCGCCGTCTCATTCTCACTCTGCTCTCCAGGTTCAGGTGACGCAGCCTGTGCTGCCGACCGCGACCTCGCTGCAGCAGGCTCAGCCTCCACGGGAGCAGCCCTTGCCGCCTGCACCCATGGCCATGCCTCATATCAAACCTCCCCCTACCACCCCCATCCCCCAGCTCCCCACTGCTCCATCCCACAAGCACCCTCCTCATCTCTCTGGCCCTTCTCCATTCTCAATGAACTCCAACTTGCCTCCACCACCTGCTTTAAAACCTCTGAGCTCCCTCTCGACTCATCACCCTCCGTCTGCGCACCCTCCTCCCTTGCAGCTGATGCCTCAGAGCCAGCCACTGCAGTCCTCGCAAGCCCAGCCTCCTGTGCTGACACAGAGTCAGAGCCTCCCCCCACCTGCTAATCACCCCCCGTCCGGACTCCATCAGGTATCCTCCCAGCCCCCCTTTTCTCAGCATCCATTTGTCCCAGGAGGCCCACCTTCCATCACCCCTCCTTCTTGCCCCTCCACTTCCACGCCACCCACCGTGCCTGGCATCCCGCTTCAGACTTCCATCTCCACATCAGCAGCCTCTAGTGGAAATGTGCCGGTGGTGACAGCCTGCACGCTACCACCTATCCAAATCAAAGAAGAAGTCCCAGATGAAGCTGAGGAACCAGAAAGCCCTCCCCCTCCACCCAGAAGTCCATCACCAGAACCCACTGTGGTGGATACGCCAAGTCACGCTAGTCAGTCGGCCAGGTATGGAGGTTGTCAGCAGCACTTTCTTAATGTGCTGTTTTTGTCTGTAGCAGGCACTCCCAAAAGCTGAGAAATGAGCTGCTGTGGGAGCTGAGTGTGTTGTCCATGTGTATCTTGTCAGCCTCTTGCCAGCATGATTCTGCTCGGTGGTTCTGGAAGGGTGCTGTGCCAGTGAGCATATTCAGAGAGGGCATTCCAGTTTGTAATTGTGAGAGGGGGTTTATACTCTGTTTGTCTGTGGAGTAATGTGGTACAATTAAATTTCTCATGGCTTTCAGACAGGCTGGTAGTGCTGTTATGTGTAAGGGATGGTTTGGGGCTTTTTTTGATACACAGCTCTTAAATTCCAGACTTCTGTATCTTTCCCAGGGCTGAGCTCTTTCTGGTTTGTTTCTTTCAGGTTCTATAAGCACCTGGACCGTGGCTACAATTCATGCTCGAGAGCAGACTTATACTTCATGCCTCTGGCAGGATCGAAACTGGCCAAGAAGAGAGAAGAGGCCATAGAAAAGGCCAAAAGAGAAGCAGAGCAGAAAGC